CGTTACTGCCCATCTCTGCTTCCTAGTTAAATTTACACTTTTTAATTTTTCATATTTATTTCCTATCTTATTCATAGCCCTTTCCTTTTTTTTTCTTTAGGTCACGAGCAGTTGTCTAAGCATTCCACTGCATATCGTACTGTGTATGACTGTGTACGTGACAAATAAAAATTTGAATTTGAATTTGAAACGATTTTCTCTTTGTGATGCTGACAATCAGTCACTAATGAATACTCCAGGCTCTGATCGTCTAGGTAACCCTCTGATGGAGTTATCACCTTGCAATGTGTCAAGCAGTGGCATCCTTCACGCTCACTGGCAGCTGCTTCAGAGAAAAGTTTAACTTCACACCGGCAGCTGTGATTTCACCCGTTAAAGTCGCCTAATGTCGTTGACTTTTTGTCTGTGGCCACCACACCACTGAAAATATTGCTTCCTGCGTGGACGCCCCTTTAGGCTTGCCGCTGTAATGAAATAACACAACTCTGAATTCTCTGGGCAGGAATTAACATATTTATTACACCGTAAAGAACAACAATACCAGAATTATACTGCAAAGTTTCACAGACTGACAGACCATAGTTTACAGCCCAAAAAAAGAAAAGAATTAAAATTAAGAAACAAAAAAAAGAAATAAAATCAACAAGAAACCACAGTTCTGACATAGTAGACTGGAAAGCTCTCTAGAGGACACTGACAGTAAGCGATGGAAAGACCGCTTAGCGTCAGCCTACCACTAACCTGTGGTTTTCATGTCTTAATTAAGTATTGCACAACAACTTCAAATTATTTGAGCTCTGTTTTTTTTCACAATAAATTTTCTCAAGAGAACGGAAAAACCCTCCCACCCCTGAAGTTCAACTCCTTCCCCCCCAAATTAATGCTACGGCCTTGCTGTTTGCTGTCGGCCCCTCCATTTCCCTATTGTTTCATGTTAAGTAGGAAATTTAAATAACGTTTCCCCCCATTGTGAAAAACAGGCATGCCTAAACTCATAGCCTCAATTTTTTTTTTTCTTTTCCAAGATTGACCTTTTGTATATTCCCCAGCTGACAAATCGACAAGCACTTCCGCATGTCTTAACAACAGAGAAAAAAACAATATAAAAAGAGGAGAAAAGGCGGTGGGGAAACAGGGAAGAAAAAAGAGCAAGAGAAACATTTCTTATCTGTGACCTTAGCTTGTGCCGTCGAGATGGGAATCGACAACACTTTTCTTTAAAATTAGCACAATTTTCTCAAATCTGTTCAAACAATTCAAACTCTTGATGTACTCTAGAAATGCCACAGGCATAAAGGAACATAACAAAAGTTTTTTTTTCTGTTTTTTTTTTCTCATTTCTATTTAGGTTTCATTTATTTATGAGGTCTGCATTGTTACCAAGTAGTGATATGGTTTTGCAGCTGTATGAGCTTCGACTTTGGGTTTTATATTTTCCTGTTCTCTTGTGCCCATTTGGTTTCGACTAGACCAGTATCAGCGCCGTGACTGATGCTCTTATCGTGCTGTAAGAGGTAGAGTGAGACTTGTTTGCCACCGAGGAATTTGTAGCAAAACACACATAGAGGAGGGAAAAAAAATAAAAATAAAATAACAGTAACGCTTCTCAAAGCATCATTGAATGATCGTGTTTCCTAACTTTTTTTTCTCTTTTTTTTCTTTTTAAACCCAGATTTTGCCCTGAAAATTATGAACACATACATTATTTGTTGTATACCTTTAAATACACTAGTGTTAAAACAGCTTGGCTGTTTCTTCACAGCTTCTGAGAAGTCGCTAGTAGGGTGTCAGACACCTTTTTGGATTGTTTAACCCTTTAAAGTCAAGAATGCAAGTGTATGTTGTAGTTAGACAAGGAGGGAGAGATGAGGAAGTACAGAGGGAGCAAACTGCCCCGAAACCTTTGTGGGCCTCCACTTGTTCCTTGAGGTCAGAATTTGTAACGCGCTTCTGTGTAGCACCAAGGTGTTTGGGGTGAGTGTCGGGGTAAGTGCTCTCGTACTGCGATTGAGAGGTTTGTCTGATTTACGCTAAAGGTTTTCGACAAAATTGCGATGGATTAACCCAAATGATATAAATAAATAAATACGGTACAATGGCGTTGGTGTGAAAGCCCAGTCTCACATTTACCTCTGCGAATCAAAAACTTAACTGCTTAAAGCTGAAATGGGCACTGAATCTGACAGTTGTGTAATGAAAAATGTGTAAAAAAAGGAAAGAAATCTCGAGAATCGCTTCAAAAATGGTTTCAGAAGTTGCGTTTGTGTCACATTAGCTATTATTGCTGCAGTTAAAGTGTATCTCCGCTCTGCACGCTCATCGGGGTCAATTCACACCTTCTTATTCCACATGTGAGACGAGTGCTCGTGGTTTCCAGAATATGGTAAAGATAAATGAATCCTTTTTCTTTTTGTTCATGGAAATATGAACAAAAGCTGGAGAAACGAATGCCCGAATGTCTGAGTGGACAAACCTCTTTTCAAAAATCGTTTAAATCAGGATTTTGGTCCTTGGTGTCAGTCTTTGGCTGTTTTTGGTGTTTTTATGTTTAACTCTTGTGTTAATACTGCGTGTTACCTGGTGCTTTGCAGTGTTAAAGCTGTCAATCGGAGTCTACACCTCTGCATTTGGAAAGTTAGTTTGTTAGAATATTTTTTTTGTATTGTTTTTTAAAAATTATTATTAGAATTTTTTTGGTTGTTTTTTCAGTTTTTTCTAAAAAATAACAAATATTTAACAAACGTTCAGTAATGTGCATGCACTGTTGTAACTATTTAAACAACAACAACGAAAAAAAAGACGTAATGGCTGCTCTTCTTAGCACGCAGAGTAAAAAAAAACAAAACTGAAAAAAAGAGAAAAAGAAAAACGGAGTGGGTTTGGTGGTTTACGTTTTTCCATCTCCTCCCATCCAGAGAAAGTGAGAATAGAAGATGCTAATACTACATACAAAATGACTTGATGAGTTATGGCTCTATACCGACAACACAAGTATGCTGAAAAGAAGCATGCCGAGATAACCTCTGTGACAGTGCAAATACATTTATGTATGTCCCTTTTACAAAACATTTAGGTTAGCATTCCGCGCAACATGCTAGTTCTCAGAAAAGATCTGGGTCGGACTCAAGTAGCAGCTCTGAGATATAGCTTGTGTCTTTTCTTGAGGACGTAGGGAAGGAAAACTTATAGAACTACAAGGAATCTACCACTTATACACAGAATAGAAAAGAAGCAGCTTGGGGAAGAAAAAAAAGAAAAGATAACACTTCTTTTTTTTTTTTTTATCTCTTTTTGCACCAGCTAGAGAGAAAGAGTTATGAAGGACTTAGAGTTGTGACTGGTTGAAGTACTATGCATTGTCACAATTGTCCAACACATATACAATAAATAACCATTGGTGACACCACAGGACAGAAGTCTTAAACACCATGACATCTACAGAAAACGAGTAAGAATGTGAAGAAAGATGAAAAATGTTGTCAGAGTCGAGATAGGAGGGGAGGTTGTCTGGGGCGAGTCTATGTTTCCCGAGCCTGCTGTCGAGGTCATTTGACAGTCTTGCCAGTGGGTTGATGACTTCACTTCCTGTTTGAGAGCGTCTGTGACCCACCGAGCGATCGAGTTGTATTTGGTCCGTCCTCCAAGTGTGCAAGGTTTTTGTATCTTATCCAAGAATTCTTCCTTTTACATCAGAGAAATGGATTTGTATTTCCCAGACCACTGACCTGGATATTATTACAAGTGAGAGGGAAATAACATCAGTTGAACAGCTGGCAATCTGCTGCACATCTGCCCGTTTCGTGGCGGTCTGTGGGCCGGAGATTCAGTCCATCCCCTCTCCCCTCTCCAGGCAGCGAACATGCTTATTCATCCTTTTGTGTGTCTTTCAGGATTTTTAAATCTAATATCTCTCTTATCCCAAAGTTTTCTCTGAGACAGTTACATTCCCCGTGATATGCTGTTTGATAAATGTCTGAGGTTGACTAGTCTCGTGTACAGGAAGGAAATAACCACTGACTCCAGGATGAAAAATAAAAACGTTTGAAAAGGGCAGGTCAGATATACTTGTCTTGAGTTCACGGCTATCTCTGATCAGTCTCTTCATATTTACAGGGGAAAATAAGATAAGCTACAATGACGACAACTTTAACAACAACAGGTACAAGGACAAACAGTCAACAAGAATAGCAAGTGTAACAGTAAAAGAATGTCAACTTTTAAATTCATTCATTCAAAACAAAGAATATCTTTGTGTTTCTTTAAAGTCATGGCAAGTCAATATGACCTGATTATGGACTTCCTCCTTCTATGACTACGCTGCAAGATAGAAGTATTGCCGTCTCATTCTAGTATCTAAGCATCTTTGCAGGGCAATGTAGACAGCCACGGTAGTTGTCGGGTTGTGGGCTGGCTGTTACACCTGGGAAGCCTTTGCCTCCTACCTCTGTGTGAGTTTCTTAGCGTGGTGTGCCATCAAGGGCAGAGGAGGACGGGGTGCTAGGGGTGGATGAGCGAGGGGTGGCAGCAGGGGGGGTAGCAGCCGGACTCCCGGTCCCGCTGCTTGGGGTGCAAGCGGAGGAGCTGATGGGAGCGGGGGTCTCTGAACCCGGAACCCCTCCCTGCTGCTGGCTGGCCTGCTGCTGCTGCTGAGCCTGCAGGGTCTGACCGCACACATGGTGATGCTTCTCCCAGTCTTTATGCTGGCAGAAGGAGCCGCAGTAGCGTGCCGTGTTGCAGCCGCTGCATGTCTCACTGGCCTTGCGTCCGCAGTTCCAGCAGCTCTGACGGACAGAAAGAGACAAAGTCAAATAACTCCAAAAAGTAGCAGTCAGACAAAAACCAATTTGTAATGGTTTAATGCTCTTTTCACATGAAAATCTAATCACACATTGTGACCAAAAGTAAAGAAAATTCCACACTAAACTGGGAACTAGCAAATACAACGTGAAGATTAGCAGCAGAAAGTGGTACACCACACAGGATACCATGAAAGAAGCCTCTACTTCTATGCTTGGCGCTTAAGCCTGACCCAAACCACAGACAGATAAAAAAAAATCTCTTGTTACACTTAGGGCCACTTATATATCTTGGAAACCGCAAGGAGAGCATGTCAGGGCGCCTGCATAGCCAGAGGAAAGAGGAGAACAAAGTTATAAACAACCTCTGAAAGTTCTCTCTCTGGGGCGCTTCTCTGTTACAAACATCGCTCCTGCAATTAATGTCAGATGAACGGCAGAGTTCCCTCTCAGTTAAATGATTAAACTTTCAGGTCTCTAATGGAGATTACCAAATGCTTTTACTTATTTCCTCTCAGCTCAAATGGTAGCACCCTTCCAAGCACTGTAAAGTAGCTACTCGGGGGTAATAGGTGCTTGATTATCCCTGCCTTACTTCATTTTGCTCTTCCATATGCACTAACACATAAGGGGTGGATAATCAGATTTTACAAAAATGTGCACTATGTAATATTTTTTCTAAAATAGTAATAAAAAACCCACAGCATCTGTATAATCCACCACAGCTTGCATCAAAAGCCAGACACAAAAAGACGATAATGACACTGATGATGAAAGACTGAGAATGTGTACATTCGCTTCTACCTCGCTGGAATCCTCCTGCTGGTTGATTATGGAGAGCGCCTCTTCGGCTGCCTGGCGCTTGGCTTCGGCCACTGTTCGCTCCATCTTGGCCCGCTCGCTGCTGATCATTTCGTGAGCCTTGCGCTCGGCCTCTGACACGGCTTTCTGCAGCTCTGACATGGCCTGCCGCTTCACCTCATTCACAGCCTCTTCTGGAAAGAGTGTGGAGACAGAGGAAGTCAAGCCTCCCGTACCTGCAATGTAGCGCGTGCATTTTTCACTGGACTGTATTTTCATTGAGTACACCATCGTTTTTTAAACAGGAATAACATACTCGCTGCTGCTGATTCCAAATTGCTATATGCCATTCTAAACAACCCTTTAGCATATTCACGGTCTCATTGTGCTTGTTTGTGTCTCTGTCAGGTTATCGTTCTGCTCTCCAGTCGGTCATCCCGTCTACTTCAGGAGAGAGCAGTGCTGAGTCTGAAGTTGCGTGGATGAGCAGTTTTCATATTCTGGCTAGAAGCTTTTTTTTTCCTGTTATGCTTTCAGTCAGATGCTCAGCTTCTGAGGCAGCAAGACAGGCAACTGCAGAGACCCATAAGGGCTGACTCCACAGCAATATCTCAAAATGTGGCAACAGCAGAGACTGCAACTCACTCCCACTTTAACAACCAATGGGAGTCTGCAAAACATCTCAGTAGAAAACCTCTCTTGCGCTCTCTCCTAGCTAAAGCGCGTTCAATGAGCTGCAGGCTGAGCTCGTCTTGATGTGTGTTTAAGTCCGCAGCGCGTGCTAAACTCAACTGCACACAAATGTTTTCGCTACTCAGCTCTCCTGCTGTCTGTATTTATTTATGGGAGAATCAGACCAAGCAACAAATTACAACAAAAAAAAAAAATATTTCTCCTGCTACAGATGAATTCAATTACTCCATCAGTCCAAACATGCATGTTTTAAATGCACACTATGTCTAAACTTGCATCACTGTTTTAAACACATCTAGAAGATGCAAACTAGAAAACAAAATCTGCAATGGATTATTTCACACGGCAAAGAAAACTACTTTAACTATTCATGTTTATTTTATATTTCAAGGCCAACTTTCAGCTTAGAATATTTAATATTAGTATTTTATCATTTATTTAATATCTGACAAGATTTACGAGCACATCAAGTCTAAATGTTGCAGGCTGACAGGATAACAAGGACACTCGTCAGCTGATTTAATTAAACTATTACGATTTCGTTCAAACACTGATTAATTTCTTTTTAAGAACCTTTTAAATGTCTAAATAGGCATATTTACATCAGTGTGTGACATATTAATGTAAAGTTCAATGTTCCTGGAAGATCTTGATCTTATATATTATAATTTGGAAAAGAATATCCCGAGGATATTCTCACGAGAACACGAGCTGATTAATCGCAGGTAATCACTCACAAAACGTGCTTTTCAGCCGGAGCAATATGTTATTTTATCCTTGTTTTGAGGAATGAATAACCTTCCGCGTGGGTGTTAAGCGGTGGAATTCCTACAGAACGTCAAAGCAAAAGGAGGGCTTTTTTGTTTGCTCCCATCAAGCCTGTAACTTGACTAATTGTGTATGCAAATCAGGCAATTTATATTTAAATTATGCATTTCCATTGTGATCCCAGAGGCCCATGTGGTGAGGGGAAGTGGGAAACCGGTAGGACACCGTGCAAGGTGCTTGAATATTTATCACCAACTGTAAACATTTTGCCCATTTCAAACAGATGTATTCGCCGCTGCACTCCATTGTGTTAAAAATCCTATTTTGCAATCCTCCCCGGGTCACATTTAAATCAGTCTCTCCTAAGCCAGAATATGAATGAAATGGATAACGGAAAATACTGAGGATAAGGCAAATAGAGTGAAAAGTAAGAGGCCCCTTTTATCCGACAGACAAAAGATAAAATACAGCTTTATGCCTGACAAATATGCTTCACTTTCTTAGTACATATTACACCGGCGTTAAAAATGTAAAATCTGTTTTCGATATCAGACCGACTGCATGCTTTTATAAAGACAGAAACATTTTCTCTCCACTGTGATTGAGGCGAGTTTTTAAACCAGGGTGCTTTTGTCTTTAACCTACTATGCTGCTTGAAGTCATGGAAATTGCCCCGGTGCCTTGTGATATATGCCTTGTGCATGGAATTGTGATTACACACCAAATGCCTTAGATGGAAGATCGATCAAAGCTGGTGAGGGGAAAGAGAGTACTGGAGAGGAGGCAGAGTCCCGATGGTGATACTCAATTCAATTTAAATGCATATTACTTGTTCTGAGTATCTCACACATCATGCTTGGTCAAGCAAGGGGACAATTTCTTTTCTCCAGGGGGTTTAAAAGGCAGATATACTGTATCACTGGTGGAGAATACAAAACCTCAAAGAGTGAACCCTCAGGTTTTCAGAGTGATAACAGTGACACAATGCTGTTTGTATAAGCTATAAAAAATGAATGCAAGTGCTGATTTTACTCGGGTTATTAAAACATTAAGGAGTTTCTAAACTGTTAAGTAGGATAGCTGCAGTGTCTCTCATTAAGGGGATAAAAAAAGTGCCAAAAGCAAATTGAAACCAAATCTTGCCACTTTTGACAGGAGACCACTGGGCCAGCTGTAAAAGCTCCTTATGTCCCTTATTTGACTGCAATAAAATCCTTGTAAGGCCTGACATCATATTCTGAGTGTGCAGTGCGTAGTGATGAAACTTCCTACAGAATCAGATATAGATAACCTGACTTTAATGCAAATCTAGCAAGGTTTTGTGTTGCAGACAATAGACTACACTGGGATGAAAAGGGGAGAGAGCAGGTTTAAAGGAGCCTTTCTCGTTCATCTACCTAAACATGGCCTCGAGTTCCATAAAGCATAAAGCCTTCAGACAGATTAGGGGAAAAATAGAGGAACTGTGTTTATGTGCACTGATCAGAGGCATGGGAGTTCTGCTCACCAGCTTTTTTCCAGATCTCTTCAGGGACGTAGCCAGAGACAGGCCGGTGCAGGAGCTCCCGGTGAATTTCTGGAAAGACACAAACATACAGACGTGGTAACCAGAGATCCATCAATGGCATAGTACACAAAACTATGAAATATTTAACATTTTGGTAATGTTAAACATTTTTCTATGTTCCAAAGGACTTTTTGAGACCAGTGCAATGAAACTGACTTATTATCAGCCAGTGTACACATATTTAATGTAAAAATAGGGGGCCTAGATTTGAACTCTGGGGGACTCCACACGCAATATTATTAATTCATAAAATACAACAAAGATCTTACAGCTAATAATAATTAATTTTGGACTCATTTTAGATTTGAGCTTCTTTAATAGTGGTTTAAAAACTTCCGAGCCTTAAGCCTCGGATATATTCCATTGCAGACAGGGACAGCTGGAGACCCAACAGTCATTTCTGTTTTACTTCTTTGAAGTCTCCTGGCTGGGCACATGCCTAGTTGGCACATTGTCATATAAATTCTCCACAGATAAGTCTGTGTGGTCACAAAAACAGGCAGGCACATGGAGGTCTGCACAAACCCTCTCAGAAGGTTGCAGAGTATAATCCTTGCTTTAAGAGACCTAACAGACTGCAAGGTAATGCACATCAGCTGACACCTTTAGAGTCTGTATTTAATATAGATACCTTTAAAGAACAATTAAAGTTGCACAGATTACACCGAAAAACTGAAAATCCGTAGTCTTAAAAGATGAACAACAAGCTTAAAACCGGCAGACATGCACATTAATTATAATTTAACAATAATACTTCTAGCATGTAAGTGAATCCATACCTGAAGTTGTGTTTTCTTGTGCTGCAGGGCTCTGCTGCCTTGACTGCCCGCTAACAGCGCCTTTCTTCTGCTCCTCGGCATCGCTGTATCGTCGGATCCAGTAGTTGAGCTCCTCACGGTCAGCCTCCTGGCACCGCCGCAGTACCGTCAGTGAGCGCCTTGTTTTTTCCACCATGTCCATGATGCAGTTGAGCAGCTGGAGGTGACAGGGAGCAGACACAGCGCTGAGTTTACACATAGACAGGATGAATGGGCTGATTTGAATTCAAAGAAGGTGTCTTTGTCAAGGGTAGGGTTCGTCACATACATGTAATTTCAAACATCGTTTTGACTGAGCTCATAAAGAAACTTAAAAGCATCCAAACTTTAATAAAGACTCGCCACAAGGTCTGCTAGATAACAATTTCATACGAACTGATACTCAGAAAACTTACAAAGACAAAACTGTAGAGTATAGTAATAAAATTGTTATTACTTTTCTTACATGGTCAAGGTGCTTCCACTCCTCAGCCCATTCTCTGTCTGTCAGCCTGTGGTCAATCACTTCCTCCTGCCTGGTACCTGCATGCATACCTGCAAGAATGAAAGATAGACAAATAGATGGACAGATAAACAAACAGCAACTCAGCATGACACAATCAATTACTCCATCAAGCCCTTGCTCCCCTTTTCATTTGAATTCAGTTTGGCACTCTTTCTCTATTCATTTCTTTTCCCTGCTCCCACACTCCCCCTTTTCTCTGCTATCTCCATATCGCTCTCCCACCCCGAGGGCAGGACTCAGATGACTGAGCTTCTCCTCCAGTAAACATCCATCACAAGGTGAGACATGCTAAATGTGTCTCCTATTTTTAAAATAGAGCCTAAGTCATTATCACAGCTTCATCAAGGCCAGCTTTATGCAAAAAGAAAAAAGGATCTAATATGATGATCTCACATCTAAATGTGCGTCTGCGGAGTGTTAATGTATCTCACTTTTTATGACGTCTGTGGCTTCTGAGTCTCACTGATTATAATGATAATCTGATTGATTATTGTAATAGTTATTCATCTCAGTGGACTATAAAGATATGAGAAACCGGTGAAATGTATGTAAAGTGATCTTGTGCTCTGAGATATACAGTCGTGTACACAAATGTAATCCTCAGTATCCTCACCAATGGGCCTTGCTCTCTCCCGGATCTCTCGGTGATTAGACGCTGGGTGTCTGTAGGTGTCGCGGTAGTGATGGGCAATGGCCATGTCGTCTAGCCTGTAGTGCTGTGGAGGGAGTGGGCCTGGGTGAGGCAGACCATTGGGTTGGTAGGAGAGTCCATTGGATGGGCTGAAACGCTGGGCAGGACTTATAGTGCAGGGCCGTTTGCTGGGGTGAACGTCCGGATGCAGAGCGCTGTCTCGTTCAAAGCCGTTCTCTTTGGTTCTGAGTGGAGATGCAGACAAATGAGTAATGTGGCTGTCGTTGTTGCTTAGACTCTTTCAAACAGTGACGTGGGATAATTTCCTTATTTAATAAGGTCGTAATTTTTTTCTTAGTTTCTCTTTTTTTTTTTTAAGTACCGGCAGCATTTTTCACTTGTTTTAATATTTTAGACAGAATACAGGGCCAAAGCTGGCATAAATCTTTGCTGCTATTACCAAGCTCGAACAATTTCTAGTGACAGCTCTGCAGATAACAAAAGGCTTCCTGAGGTGCATTGGATTGGGAAAAAAGGAAATAAAAGAGAGGAGAGCGGACGACACAGGAACAAATCAGTGTGATATTTACATCACACCTATTTTGTAAAAATAAGTGATACAAAATGTGTTTGTTACAGTTATTTCATACAAGAGCCAGACCTGAAGCATATCAGTACAACAACTGGTCCGCCCCCTTGTGCTGTTGGAAATATTTGAGTCCAACCTACCAGACAAAGCGCTTGCAATGAAAGGCTACTTTTCCTGGATTCCTTTTGGAATTTTTTTTATTGAAAACATGTCTATTCACAGACACACACACAAATAAGCCTGAATATGTGTGCTCGCATGCTTGCATACATACTCACACAAGTAGTTTTCAGGGGATCAGGTGGATTTTTGTTAGCCTGCTTCCAAAGATTAATGTGGCCAGGTGTGTTATTGTGTGAGCACGCTCTCACACGTGTGCTCTGTATGCCTTTGTGTGTGTGTTCTCACTTTTGTCACTTCACAGTTACAACTCGCCAACCTCCCCCGCTATCTGCAGTCCACCAGTTTCCTCTCTCTCTCTCTCTGTCTGCCTCTCTCCTCTCCGTTCCCATCTCCCTCTCTCTCTCTCTCTCTCCGATGAACAGATTGAACTTCTTAATGAGCTGTTTTTATGGGCTCCTAATGCTCATCCACAGCTCTCCATATGCTCTTTCCCTTGCATCCGTCCATCTCTCCGTCTCCCTCGACTCATCCATCCACCCCCACCCCCCCACTCTTTTCTGCCCAGCCTTGCTACTGCAACAATATTTATATCTACAGGCACTAAAGTATACGCCTGTGAACACATTTACAGTCACCTGTGCAATACCCCGGTGTGCACGCCCTGTTAAACGATACACACGTGGTAATTTGCGCGCTTATTTTTGAATACAGTTACAATTTTCTTTACGGTGATGCGATTAAAAGGCACCAATTTATATTTTTAATATGTTTATTTAACTTTAAATTTGAAACAATGCAGGAATATTATTTACTGACTAGATTTCTTTTGGAAGGAAGAAATAGCCTGTTGTGTATGATTATGCTGTATGCCACAGATGGAATTAATATTCTGGAAATGCACTAAAATGTAATGTGCACAGAGGCATTGCTATTAGAGTACGATCATCAGTAATACTGTACTCTCAGACGATATTTAAATACTGGCTTTTTGAGCATACACAGTATCTAAGGCTATACTCTAATTTTCCTGGTCTGTTTTCTGCAGGCGATGGTATTAATCAGAATGCATTGATAGTGCATTGTTGTCTGTAATTAAGAATTCTCATTCAAATTCCAATATTCTGACACAGGCTCCAATAAGTGCAGAGCAGGGTAAGCAGAAACCAGAGGTGCTTAGCCAGCCATATTGGTGCTGGAGCCTCATCTGTATGTGTTATCAGCCCATCTCCCTAGGCACACACACGCTCACGCAGAGACACACACACACACACACACACATACACCACACGCACGTACACACAAAGCACGCTCACACGTTCACACTGGATCCAGAATCGTGCACAAACACAGACACACGCATTCACACAAAGACTGCGTTTTCACACTGAATACAGATGCCTACTCCCCCCCCCACCTTCCGCATATTCCCTCTCACATTTATACGCGCACCTTTTCTACTAAGCTCACTCCCCTATGCACCAGACGCCCTGCAAATGTGCAGGTATTACAGAAAAAGTCTGCATAGCTGAGTGTTTGGGGAAAAGAGAGGTGAGAATTATTAATATCACATTCAGCATTTTTGTCCCTCAGCAAATATAAAATGTACATTTCCGTCTCCCCTGCCTGTATTAAAAATTCTGACCCCCGGGGATTTTATTTCACAAAACAATACATACATTGTAGTCTGCAGCTCCCACATCAGATATATGTTCACAAACTCCAGTGCAAAAAAACCCAGTTCTGTATGGGTCTGTGCATGTCTAATAGACTTTGCTGCAGGCTTGTTAGCCTCTGTTATTCTGATTAGAGAAGAGTGTAAAGCCAAACTCTAGATTTATAGTCTGATCTTATGGTTTGTTCATATCGCAGCTCTATCACCTCAAATTTGTTTTACTGGGGCAGCAAATGAGCTACATTCTTGAACATGCACTTACACACACCATTGGTCTGGATAGATTTTTTCTGTGCCAGACAGAGAGGAAGATAGCTTTTTTCCCCTTTTTTTTTACGGCGCTGTGTGTTTCTGGATGGAACGTCTCAGTGCTTGTCCATTAGAGCAAGCAACATTGAGTCATTACCAAAGTCCGTGACAGCAAACGGATGTAATGATTTGGCTGGGGTGGGGGGAGTTGAAGTGATGTGGAGACTCATACAAACACAGGCACACACTTTGTACTTACACACCCGAGCAAGCGTGGAAATAACTTTATAAGTTTGGAATCAAAAACACACAAATCGGAGGGCTTCATACACATTCAGTGACACATCTATTCATGCTTTTCATTACGGCACAGCTGTCTTCCGTCTTTTTTCCCTGCGTATGTGTGCCTGGGTGTAGCCAGGTCTACTTTTCCCATCTCATGTTCTCCTCAGTTCTGGCCCATTAAGAGCAGAAGCCAGGAGCTGAGCTGTCCAACGGAGCACATCATGAGACCCGGTGGCGCACTGGCAGACGCTTCCCGTACATACATTTGCACATGACACTATTGCCTTGCGTTAGCTCAGCTTGTGTCTGTGGAGTAATGCAGGGGCGCATGGGGATGCAGGCATCCTCAAAGGGATTTATGCATGAGCTCAAACAATAGAGGGTAAAAAAAAGTTTCATCCCAGGAGCTGGTAAATGTATAAGCTCTACCCACAAATTCCAGCTATCCTCTAAGAATTCCAACCCAAATCAAGATTTATTAAACACTTAAAATGATGAAATAGTAATATTTGAGAGTGATGTTCTGGTTTTATGAGTCACCCACCTGTCTGGTGTCCTCCTTTTGCCATTCTCATTCACATCCAGCAAGAGCTCTGAGGAGTCTACTGGGGAGGTGGTGCTGGTGTCCAGGAGTAGCTGCTCATGCTGGGCCAGGTACTGAGCCGGGTTCTGCTTGGCCAGCCTGGCACAGTGCAGCAGCTCCCTCTGAAGGAGCGGCAGGTTGGCCTGCGGGAGGAAACAACACTTGATTATTACGGGAAATTCACAAGAATGCTGATGACTGTTTCCTGAGAGCTCAAAGGAGGTACAAGAATGTGAGGAATGCGTGCCTTTCAGCCTCACAACATTTATAAAGACATTTTCAGGTAAGTCTCCTTTGGTGAACAATCATTCAGACTGTGAGCTGGTTACTGTTTACTAAAACTTCTTATCTCTGAAACACAATATTGAAACTTTGGAGGTGCAAAAAGTGATAAAAATGTACTAAAAGTAATAAAAGTGGCACTTATGACTTACAGAAACACTATGCTCTGCTCTGAGTGCTTTACGTTGTAACAAAGGTAAATGTAATCATATTAATGCTCAGGAAATGTAGACAACACACAGTCCTACCACCCGACATGTTACCATCCCACACAAAGAACTGAATCACACATAAAAGCCAATGTCTTATAAGATTTTTATTCCAAATACCACTTCATTGTAAGAAGAGATCCATGTCTCCCATACCATCTCACCCCTCTTTGCTCATTATTCCTGAACCACCGCAGCTTTCTGAGACCCAGAGTGCATTAGCGGCCGTAAAGTCTCTCTGTGGCATAAAATTTTAAAAAACACAGCAGCTATTTTCAAACTCTTTGGCATACTGTAACAAGGGGGTCTACTTTCTTGTGTGGAGTTACGGGGCCATGCAGGTATGCGAACATCGACTTCAAAGACATCTGATGGCGTGCATTATGAGGCAAGAAGATGAAAGTGTTGCGTCAAGCAGGCTTAGAATGAGAGTGGGGGCTATTTTGGCGAGGCACATCACAAGAGCCTTTGGAGAGGCCATCTTTGCAAGTTTTAGGTCCGTTAATCTTTGCTTTGTCCTCACTATCATAATCTCTCTCGCAAGTCTCCTGCTTCTTTTGTGGTTCCTTTCCTTTTTGTTTTTTTTTTTGTTGTAATCTTCCTCACAGTCTTCACTCCTTTATTCTTCTGTTTCCTGCAGCTGCACACAGAAGTAACACTACCTGAACTGGGCCATGTTTTGTTTAGTAGTATTAATGTTGTAATCACATGAAAATCTCTCTCTAGTAATTGGCTGCAGTAAGAGAAATGCCAGCCGCTGGCCTTCGCTTTACCTGCCCGAGTTAATGGTCCGTTAATAGTTTATGATCATAATTACCCTCTGGAAAAAGGAAAAAAAAAAGAGAGAGAGCATAAAATAAATTGCTTTGACCCTGGTGAACTCATCTTATATTAATTAGAGGTCATCCTAATTGCCAGAGGAGATGTGGGATACATTAACAAAAAGACTGAGTCAAGAAATGCAGACCACTGAAGAGACTGGATCATTTTTCATATGATAAAGTGCGGCGATTTGCTTCCGCATACTTATGTTAACCAACATCTGCACTTGTACCAAAAAAAAAGGGGGGAAAAAGGCACATTTCAAGTAATGTTCAGCAGCCACAGCTAAATTCTACTTGGGGTGATTTATTGTTCAAATACTGCTTTTGTCATTTTGTCAAACGGTGCCAAAAAACAATTCAGAATATGCCACATTTAGGATGTGCTGCACTTCATCAACTTTCTGTTCTCTCTGTATAATTTGCAGTTGGAAGAGAAAGGTGACTTCGTTTTTTGCATGTCTATTTTGCCCTATTTCAATTATTTTCTATCGCAACAGACTCTCTCCTTCTCCTTCACTCTCATACACATACACACACACACACACACACACACACACAGCTGTATGTGTTTATTCCCCCGTCTCGCAGCACTACTCACACTTGAATCTGACGCAAGAAAAAGAGCGAACTTTAAAAAATGGCACAACTTTAAGTGGAAGGCTGAGACGCATTCATATCTTTTAAGAATCGTGTGGCCCGCGTCTCGCCAGCACATCACGTCACAGCCATTGTGTGGTTTATGATTGCCTCCTTCCAGTAAAGAATCCCAACCAATTTGCGGTTTAGCATTAAGAGAAAAGGAAAAAAGAGTTGAGTGAATTCGAGAGGGGGTGGGTAGTTGGTGGGATTGACTCGGTATAACATTAGCGTAATGAAAAACCTTGAGCCCTGACATGCATTGTTGCAGCTGTGCTTCGACGCACCTATAAAAGCTCCCCCACACCTCCAGTTGCTCTCTGCTACCATATGGTAGCTGGCATTAAAGGCCCCGCAGTGGGAAGACACTAAAATTAGACTGGGGAGAAAGAGAGGGGCTGAGAAGGAGCAATGGAGGAAAAAAAAGAGAGTTGCATCTTTGATTCCGCAGCCATCCCAGTGATACAATAACCATCTGGCGAGGAGAGGAAAAGGGAAGGAGGGACTGGAGGATGGATGGATGGAGAACAGTAGATAAACAGAGAAACGAAAGGGATAAAGACAGAAGGAGGCAGAGGGAGAAAAAAAAATCTTTCACAAGAAGCGAAAGAAAATGAAGAAAACTTAAGGGCAAGGGAGTGATGTAGGAAAGAGAGGGGGTGGATACAAAGCTCCTGTTTGTATCGTTAACAAAGAGTAATGGCAGTTCTAGTGGGACCAATTTCTGCTGCCCATAACCACGCTGACCCTTGGTGGATAACATAAACTTGTGAATGTCAGTTGACACATGCACACATCTGCAAATGCAGATGTGAGTGCACCATGTAAAGTGAGAGGCTATTGTGTTGGGAAAAGATGCCGCCTGTGTTTTCAAAAGTAACATTTACCCATCTGTCACTCAGAATCTCTATTAATTCAAGTTTTTTTTTTCTTTTTTTAGATAATTCTAACTTTTATAAGGCAGAATCTGTAGAGAAATTACCAGATTTTTGGTACCGCAACCTATGGTCTGATGATGATTTAGTTTTTTATTTGCTTTTTAAAAAAAAACTGAATAGAAAAAGCTGATTTGCATTCATAAACAATGCCCAGACGGGAAGTTTTGATCCGGATATCCGCTGGCTACATTGGAAGCACTGAAATATTCACCATTGTCCCCAGAGATTAGTCATGAGACAATAGCGGATGGGTTCCCAGATTGCTCAGTTACAAATAGCAGAGAGTCCATAAGAAAGACTGATGCAAATCAAGAAGAAGACTGGAGAAGAAAACAGGAAAAAAATGGAGCTTTTTACCTTTACAGAGGTGTGCAAAAGAACAAAAAATGAGTGATGCGTTAAATATTACACCCGTCGCTGCTCTCCATCTTTCAGTAGCTCACTGATATTGATCTCCACTTCACCTGGACCCATTACATGGTCTAACCTTCTGCTGCTCAGTATAAACCTCAGTCTCATTTGTCATCCGTGACTATCATAACAAATCACGCTACTGCCCCCAGTCTCAGCCCCTAGTTTAGCCTTCAGAATATGCACCAAAAAGCACTACATGCACCTATCTCACACAAACCACACATTAAATAAACATTATTCCCTTTGTGGATACAAATAGAAATAATTTCATCTCCTTCACTTTTATCTTCCACACTGTGATAGATATGAGAGATATGCTGTTGTGACTGAGGGAAGGGCACAGATGCTTAAGAAAGTGTTCTTTCCTCTAGTAACATACCATGTTAATGGTTGAAATGCAGCTTAGTGGGAATAAGGGAAATAATGACAAAAACAAGCCAAAGACCAATATGAAGATGAGGAGGACATAAACAGATACGTTGTCCTTGGGGATAAAACCACAGTCATTCTGTTTCAGTATATTCACTGTGTTTATCTTTAAAAAACAACAACTTCTTTCCATCCAAACACTCTTATAAGAAAAAATTCTGCCTTGTGTCAGCGTTTTGCACTATATAGACAAACTGAGCAAAAGAAAAGAAGAAAACCCTGAAAGCTTCTCGTCAACAGCAGAGAAAGTGAGTAAGAAGCAAGAAATAAACAAGTGAGGGATGGATGAAAGACGGGATAAAAGTGCAAAAAAGAAGAGAGACTCAAAAAAGAAAGAAAAGAAAAAAAAGAGCAACAACAGGGATAAATATCGTGAACATAAGTATGCACATCTGGAATCTGTGCCGGCTAAATGCTTTCCAGATTTCATTGATCAAACAAACAGGCGGGCAACCTTCTTGTTGTAAACGTGTACTGAAATGCCTCTACCTTCAGAAAGGGTATGACAAAAGGTCGCAGAGGGAAGTTGGTGGCTTCTTGCAGCTTGGAGTGAAATTCTTCGATGGTCAGAGTGGAATTCTGGAGAAGAGAGAGACACAAAAAACAAACACATGAATCCATGTGGAAGGCATTAAGTGATAATATTACTTATTGGAAGCTAAGCTATATCCTGGCCTGGACTGAGCATTTTGGGTTTTGTAATAGGAAGCATATGGGCAGGCCACAGCGAAAAAGAGCCACAGAAAACAAAGGCACACATCTCCTTCCATCAGAAACAAACGCACATACAGGAGTCACATCATCCAAACACATCCTGCACGAAGGACAAATGTGTCTGATTAAAAAGGCTTTTGTACGAACGCTGATGGAGTTTATCATACGTGAGATACAGGCTCATTTAAAAACAGTTATCTCTGTATTTATTTAATCATTTAAGTATAGTTGCTTGTGGCTTTCCACTCTATTTTCACATTACCACATGTCCGCTCGTGAATTATAATCAGAAGCTGAAACACAATGAGGATTTTCTATATCTGGAAGACATCGGGGACATGGATAATAATGCACTGCATTTAATAATTTATGCTAATCAAACTAATCATGGGGTATTCACACAACTTTTCTGTTGTACATGTGTGCATGGCAAGCATTCTTTTCTGGATCAATGTTTTATCATTTATGTACAACTCTCTCTCTTTTTTTTTTACTGATCACAGAGAAGAATAACCAAAATACATTTCAGCAGCAGGAGATTGTGAAGAAAAACAGTGTGTGCATGTGTGTGCATGTGTGCTTTTTTTCCTGTAATAGTGCAAATGTGGAGATGGTTTAAGCGTCTGAAGCAGTGGGGGGGTTGGTCAAAAAGTGGGTTACGCATTGCAACTTGTCAACTTTAGCACCCAAATAAAGTCTAGTTGCTGAAAGCTACATCAGTGTCTGACAAGACAGTGTCACTATTTTTAATTTTCAGCATGAGGTATTCCCAGAATACAAAGGAAGAGGTAAAAAAAAGCAGAGATGGAAAAAGGTGTGCTTGCACATGGCAGAGGAATCTTCTATAAAATAAATAAATAAATAAATGGGG